CTTTGGCTGGGGTCGTGATCTCGGGGTCCTGGGATCGAGCCCCGCGTCGGGCTCCCTGCTCAGCGGGAGGCCTGCTTCTCCCTCCTCCCGTTCCTGCTCTCTCTCGCTGTCTCTGTCGTGTCTCTCTCTCAAATAAATAGATAAAATCTTCTAAAAAATAAATGATTGAAAAGATTTTTTCCACGAAGTTGGCAGTTTTATTTTGTAAGTTCTAGAAGTAACTTCTCCAGTGAGTCAGCGGGAAACGGAGTTAAAGCGTCTAAGTAGACGGATCTTGTGGATAGTAATCCCTGTCTTCTGTCACATTCCTTTTTGTTATTAAGGTAGCCAGGAAAATTACATACAGAAATCAGGAACAATGTATTTATTTGTTCTCTGCTAGTAACTTTAATTTTTTAAAACTGGAATGTCACTGTAATGACCCCACTTGACCCACCATCCTCTGTCTAACCTAGCCTGAATTCTCCCAGCCTTTCCCGTCCAGCACTGCTGCAGTATCTGTCATCCTTACACCTTGTCCTGCGGGTCCTTTTCCCTGTGCATTCAGTCATGAGCAATGCTGAGCTGCCTCTAGCTGTCACATATTTTTGTTGCATTGGGTGGGATAACATCATGAACACATGTATTTTGCAGACTACTCTTAGATCACATCCTGAAGTTCACCAGCCTCCCTGATACCTCCACCTGCATTTCCTAGGGTTAACTCTCACTGAGACCGAATGTAATATCGTTGATTGATTGTAATTTCTCCAGCAGTTTTTGTTTTGTTTTGTTTTGTTTGTTTGCTGGATTTGGATAATGTTTCAAGTAGGAGGAGTTTGGGAGCAGTGTACACTGGCTTGTTTTACGAAGGCCAGCACAGACATGATGAATTAAAACTTTTTTCTAGAACAGCACTCCAGCAGACTTACTGCAATGATAGAAATGTCCTGTGTCAGCTCTGAGCAATATGGTAGCCACTAGCCACATGTGGCCGTAGAGCACTTGAAGTGGAGCTAGTATTATTAAGGAACGGCATTTTAAAATTTAATTCTAGGAGGGGCGCCTGGGTGGCTCAGTTCGTTGGGCGGCTGCCTTCGGCTCAGGTCATGATCCAGGGTCCTGGGATCGAGTCCCGCATCGGGCTCCCTGCTCAGCAGGAAGTCTGCTCCCTCTGCTGCTCTGCCTGCTGTTCTCCCTGCTTGTGCTCTCTCTCTCTCTGACAAATAAATAAATAAACTTAAAAAAAAAAGGTGACATTTTAACTCATGATAGAAAGTTTAAAAAAAAAATAATTCTAATTTAAATAGCAACCACATATGGCTAATGGATGGAATCATTAGTTCTAGAGCATGCCTTTCCCATATCTCTTCCAGACACATACTCAGCTTTCACATCTTCAATACAAAACAAAGGTCTCTCCATTGTCATTTGTCTCCACTCCTCTCCCATTTACTTCTGCAGTCTAGCTTCTGCTTCTGTCAGTCCACAGAAATTGCAGACATAAGGTCATCATCCATGCTCTGAATATCACCAAATCACTGACATCTGATACTAGGTTATTTATTCTCTCTCATCCTCCTTTAGCTTCCGAGTCACCCTTGTCCTGGGTTTCCCCTTACTTCTCTGGCCTGTTGATTTATTCCTTCACATATTATGTCTTCACTGAGTGTCTACTATGTGCCAGGATTTTAGGTAATGAGGAAAAAGACACTTGTTCCAGTTTGCATGTAGCTTATAGTCTGTGGTACTCATTTTATAAATCGGTGACAGTCAAACTAATTGGACCACAACCCAAAAATAGGTTTTACCTTGTAACCCAATATACGTATATTTGTGTAAATATAACAAAAGTTTCAGGAAACGATCTTTACTCAAATTACATGCAAAGCATATTAATATTTTCTATACTCTTTTTTCTTTTTTTCTTTTCTTTTTTTTAATGCTGGTGGAGACCTATGTCACTGATTTCATGACCCACTCATGTTTGAAAACCTTACCCTGCATGCCAGGACTTTTCAGGCTCTGATGCTAGTCTATGACCATCTCATGCATCATGCAGCCTGCTTTCTCTGAGACCCCTTGCATGGCCCCTACCCATGGCTACTATTCCTTTCTTGGAACACTATCTCCACCCAGACTCCCCACAGATCACATTCTGAGATCCAGCAGCTTCTACGACCACTGGCCTTTGCAAGGGTTACCTCTCACTGAGTACAAATATTATTTCATCCCCTTTCCCAAATCCTGCTTCTGTATTTTGTTGCTGAATGGTTCTACCATCCACCCATTTACCTAGGGAGAAAGATAGAAGACATCCTAAATGAATCCACCTGTCTTCACTCTGCAGTACATTAAGTATCATTAGAAATCCCTCCTCTCCATTTGATTGCCATTGCTTCAGTTTAGACCTTCCCCACCTCCATTGTAGATAATGTACCTCAAGAATCTTCTTAAGATTAACTCTGTTCAATAGAACTTTCAACAGTGATAGAAATTTCTGTATCTGCACTGTCTAGTACGGTGTTCACTAGCCATGTGTAGGACTCTGGAAACTTTAAAATGTGGCTAGTGCAACTGAACTAAAATTTTAGCTCAGTCAGTGGAGCATGCAACTCTTAATCTCAGGGTTGTGAGTTCAAGCCCCATGTTGGGTGTAGAGATTACTTAAAAATAAAATCTTTAAAAATTACTAAGTAAGTAGCCGTATGTGGCTAGTGGCTAATGTATTGGATAGCACAGGTCTACGTGATCTCCCTGCCCACAAGTGTGCCCCCTTCCAGTCCCTGATGCAGATAAACAATCAACCCTTGTAGATTAAGTTACTGAATGAAATGTAAAAATATGAAAGCCACATAAAGATGTCAGTAACACCATCAGTTTCTAGATAGTATCACAAGTCAACTCTTTATCAGTGAAGTAAAATTTTCTCAAGCTTTTGTTTTTATTTTTTTTTAGAGACAGAGACTGTGAGTGGGGGTGGTGGGGGTGGGGAGGGGCAAAGGGAGAGGGAGAGAATCTTAAGCAGACTCCACACCCAGCGTGGAGCCTGATGCAGGGCTCAGCCTCACTATCCTGAGATCATGACCTGAGCTGAAATCAAGAGTAGGACGCTTAACTGACAGCCACCCAGGCACCCCATCAGGCTTTCATTGGTAACTTTTATTTTTTTAATTTCTTCACAGAAATACTCTAAATTACCTTCATCTTTAAAAACTTTTTTTGTGGTTAACTACCTTTCTATGTTCTTTGATTTTTTTTCTCCACCTTGAGTTAAATGTGTGATACATACCACCATCTCCTAATGAAACATAATAGTTTACTAATGTAGAGTGACAGAAGGCAGATCAGTGGTTGCCTAGCGGAGAGAAACGAGGGGGTACAAGCTGGTACACAGAAACTTCTGGGTAGTGGACGTGTTCTCTATCTTGATTGTAGTGAGAATATGATTTGTATATACATGTCAGGACTTTTCAAATTGTACATTTCACAGCGCAGAGTACTAACCACTGTAGGATCACCGTGAGCTACCAGGCACCTGTTCAAATTGTACATTTCAATATGTGAGATTTTGTGTCTATTATACTCCAATAAAGCTTTTTTAAAAAAT